ACTCTGCTCTGTCGGTACAGAAAGATTTCCCAGCCCAGCTTTGCACTTTAATTTCGGTCTGTAATGCCCAAGGTGTCACTGGCCAGCTTGGATTTACTGTTCTGGGACAATTCCGGGCTCTCTGGCAGAGAAAGGCACTGAAATGCTGGGTCAGAGCTCGCGAGGGAGCGCCAGGTGCTGAGGGGGTGAGATGTGGATGAAAAGTTTGGGAGAAGGGGTCAGCTCCACTGGGAGAAGCCAAAACCTCGCTCAGGGCAGAGGAGAAGGGAGGCAGAGTCGTCCTGGAGGTGCAGAGTGAAAGGAACAGGGAAYAGAGCAAATTGCAGGGAGAGAAATCCCAATTAGACGGGAGCAAAACAAATTTCACAACGGGGACAGGTTATCGAGGGAGATGATCGGAGATACCGAAAATGGGTCTGATCTGGGCTGGCCACGGAGGGTGTGGGCATCCAGGTGACCTCCAGGGTTCCAATGAACTGGCTCTGACATTCCCACAGGAGGATGCCAACCCTTGCTGCCACTTGCAGGGACTTCATGGTAGCTTTGTCCTCACAAATTATCATTTGACAAATCAAAGATGGACAATAAAGTACTGTAACAGACTCATTTGAGCTGCTTGGGAAAAATGGAGTTCCTTGGAAAAGGAGTGTTCGGATCTGTTCAGGAATTCCTGCTTCCCAAAGCTGGGTCAGGATGGCCTAATTGTCAGGCTAATTCTGAAATTTACCATCAATATGGTAAATAAATGGTTTTATTGAAGAGTTGGGAGTGAAATTTTGACCTCCTCAGCAAACCCATGAATACCTGGAGTTTCATTGTGGCCCTCTCATAGTTTTCTACTTTTCTCATTGTACCTTGTTTGGTTTTTTTTCCCAAATTCTTATCCCTCCAAGTTGATCCTTTGAAGAAAAAAAAAAGCAATTCTATGGTGTCACATTGGTAAAATATTAGTGCCTGTTTTTCTRAGGGTGAGAAGATTTTCCCCAATCATTGTTTATTCCCCGTGATGGATTGCTTTTCGTGTAGGAGCCCTGAACGCAGCACGCTGGGATGGCAGCAATGCCGCTGCAGCAGGTCACCAGTTAAATGCAGGGGAGGATGTTCCCTGGCCGCATTCCAGAGGAGGAACCRGCTCCCACTCAGCCGTGGAGATCCTCCCATCGCCGGCATCCGCAGAGCTCACAAAGAGCACGTGGAGAAGGCAAATCCACCGTGTCACCGGGAGGAACGGGGCAGCCGGGGCGGGCTGGGCACGGGGGGACCTCCCCTCTGCCATCCGGGGTGTTTATCCATCCCCGAGATCCCCGTCGCGATCAGGGTGGGTGGTTCCCGTCCCCGAGTTCTCCGGTCCTGATCAGGATGGTGGCCCCGGTCCCGATCAGGGTGGTCGCTCCTGTCCCGCTCAGGATGGTGGCCCCGGTCCCAAGCTCCCGGTCCCGCTCAGGGTGGTGGCCCCGGTCCCCGAATTCCCCGGTCCCAACCAGGGTGGGTGGCTCTTGTCCCCAAGCTCCCCGGTCCCGCTCAGGGTGGTGGCCCCGGTCCCGCTCAGGGTGGTGGCCCCGGTCCCGATCAGGATGGGTGGCTCCGGTCCCCAAGCTCCCGGTCCCGATCAGGATGGTGGCTCCTGTCCCGCTCAGGATGGTGGCCCCGGTCCCCGAATTCCCTGGTCCCGATCAGGGTGGGTGGCTCTTGTCCCCAAGCTCCCGGTCCCGCTCAGGGTGGTGGCCCCGGTCCCGATCAGGGTGGTGGCCCCGGTCCCGCTCAGAGTGGTGGCCCCGGTCCCGCTCAGGGTGGGTGGCTCGGGGCTGTCCGCCCAGCTGCAATTAACGCTTCAGAGTTCCAAGTCTTGCTCAATTCAAGGTTTGAGAACCAAAGATGGCTTTGTTCGGGCTGTGCCGCAGCGKTTGGGTGTTTGCCCGGGGGAAGGTGAGTTTGGAAGGGGAGTTTCCCGTTGTCCGCCCTTCTGGGAGATCAAAGCAGCGTTTCCTCAGCACTGCGGGTGTCAGAGCCCTGCTGAAGGGCTCGTTTTGTTCCAGAAATTCAAAATAAATGCAACACGCAGTGCAAAGGCTGCAGCTGAGCTCTGTTTTCCTTTGTCTCCTGATCTCTCTGGGGCACAGAGCCAGGAGTGGCTCCTGTCACCCCTCGGGGATCCTGGGATTCCTCAGTGCCAGACCATTGATGGTTCTGAGCTGGTTCTTCACAAAAMCAAAGCTTTAAAGCTCAACACTTGCACTGAATGAGCTCTGGTTAGAARTTGCCTGAAGATGCAATTTCCAGCGTTTGGACTTTGCAGCTCTGTCACACCACGGTCAATCAAACTGGCACTGGAGAAAGATCTCTTGAGGTTTTTTCATGGCTCACAACAAGGTCGGAGCACTTGCATTGGTTTTCCTTTTATTAAAAATAAAACATTTATAAAAGAGAAGACACAGCTGTTGAAGAAGAGGGGTGGGAGGAAGGTCAGCATTGAGAWGGGGTGGGTTTGGACCTGGAATTCTCCCACAGAGCCCCGAATTAGARTCAGCATTTCCCCCTTCTGCTCCCCGCAGAGTGAAGCTCCTGGGGAGCAGCAAACTCCTCCTGCCACCCATGAACGCCCCATGAAGGGCACACTGTCCGGGTTCCTGGAGCGGGAGCACCCTCAGAATGCCCCGGGGGGGATTAGTCAGGCCCTGCTCACAGCAGMTTTGGGGGTGTGGTAGCAGAACCCAAAGCCGGGGTTGAGTGATGGGGATGCAGAGAAAGCGGGAGGAGCTGCCCCTTCCCAGGAAACGGCGCGGCAGGGAAAAGGAGCAGCTCCAGCAGAAAACTCCCATGGGTTCAGACAATCAACGACTCAGGGATAAAATTAATTCTATAATTGTATTTTAGAAGCTTGGATTTGGCAATCTGAAGAGATTTTTGTGGGAGGGGAGGGATTTTGTACGTTGTGTGTCCTGATTTGCATTTATCCAGAGGTATCCAGATTATTGTCAGGGCCATGAGGAGAGGAATGAAGGAAGAGAAGCATCAGGACTGACTGACACATCAATTATTGTGTTCTGGGATGGATGGAGTATGTTAGAAAATGATCTCGGTGTGTGGAGCTGCTGTGGTGAATGTGTGAGCTGTGACTGCAGAATTTCATCCAACCCAGCAGAGGTGGGAGCAATTCCCACAGGAGACATTCACGGGCACTTGGATCCACAGAAGGCCCAGAAATGGAAAATCAAGGCTCAAAGCCAACCTCTGTCCTCCCCACAGAAATTAATACAGATAAATCATTTAATAGACAAATAACGAAACCATTAAATAGAGGAATAATAAAACAGTTCTTTCAGGAAGTGACTTTCCAAATAAGTTAACAAACACATGAAATGGTTCGAACAGCAACTGCCATCCACTGGCTTTGCAAGTCAATAAATAAATGAATAAATAAAACACTAAATAAATAAAATATTAAATGTATAAATAAATATTAAATAAATAATAAATGAATAGTAAATAAATAGTAATAAATAGTAAATAAATAATAAATAAATAGTAAATAAATAGTAAATAAAAGCTAAATAAATACTAAATAATTAAAGGCACAATATTAATACATAGGACATACAGAAATAGCTGCCAGCAACCCATCAAACTCATGTTAATGTAACACGATGGGTGCTAAAGGTAGAACTCAAGTCTGGGGAGTTTAAAAGCTGCCAAAATCAGGATAATATTCAACTGTTACAGAAAGATAACTTCTGGCTTCTTAGGACTCTCAAATGCATTTTTCTTCTGTTTGTGCTTCTGTTCTTGTGCCCGTTCCCCCTTGGCTTTCCTCAGGAGCTCCGTGCCACCTTCGTGGGTCCCACAGCGTTATCTGGGGGAGCAGAGAGGGTCCATTTCAGGGATCCTGTGAATTCCTTGGGCAGGGGGGACCCTCCCCGGCCCCAGGGAGCCCTTACCTGCAGGGAGAGGACCACTCACTCCAYGAGGACAGGTAACAGCGATCCCTGGCCTGAACYGACACCTCTGCTGGCCCYGGGGCTGGCAACTGCACGGYCTGGGCATCAGTGTCCAACACCTGGGGACAGGGACAGCTCCTCAGGGTGGGACAGGGGGACAGAGCACAGCCCAGAGCACCAGGAGGGGACAGGGACAGGGACACAGGGGGGGACAGGGGGATAGAAAACAGCCCAGAGCACCACGAGGGGACAGGGACACAGAACACACCCCAGAGAGTCACTGAGCCCCCACCAGAGTCTGGTGTCCCAAAGGAACCAGGTTTCTCCCCAGGTCCCAAAGTCCTGGGGCTTGGGAGAGCTCGAGCTCAGCAGGAACAGCAGAAAAGCTGAGGTGCCACTGAGGGTGGCATCCCAAAGTTACCCAAACCCACTGAGATTAGTGCTCTGAATGACCCAAATCCATTGAGGTTGGTGCCCCAAAGTTACCCAAACCCATTGAGATTGGTGCTCTAAATGACCCAAACCCACTGAGGTTGTGTCCCAAAGTGACCCAATCCCACTGAGGCTGGTGCCCTACAGTGACCCAAACCCACTGAGATTSGTGCTCTGAATGACCAAAACCCAAACCCAAACACTCATTAACCAAAAAGCTTGTTTGTTTATCTGGGTTTTTCTCTTTTTCCTTCTTCTCCCRCAGGGGAACCCTAAAAAGCAGAAGTTGCTCCTCCTCAGTATCGCTGAAATTCCCGCTCAGGGGTGGCGGGGGCGCAGAAAGCGTCCCCAGACGAGGCCGTTTCGGGGTTTTAGGAACCTAAATCGCTCCCGAAAATAAGGACCGAGCGCCGGGGGAACGGCCCCATCTGCTGGCCCGGGCTGGGTCCCGCCCGCACCGGGAAACATCCCCGGAAAATCCGGGATAACATTCCCTCGGTCTGCTTTGCTTTTCCCAGCGCTGTTCCAAGCCGGGCCATCTCCATCGTGTGTCCGAGAGCAATTCAGACACACATTGGAGATTTGACACTGGCACAGTTAATTAATTCCAGTAATTAACTGGAAATCGAGGGGCAAAGACCCCGATCTCCCAGAAATGCTTCCAGAKGAGTCAGGGATCCCTTATTCCCAATTCCCCTGTAAAGTCTGAGCTGGCCAGGTACAAACAGCACACGAGGAAGTCCCAGMTCCTGAGGTTGTGGGTTTGGAAATTGGGATTTTCCCACGTGAGGCCCCGCACAGCCTCCTCATGAATTAACAAACACAGCCCTGCAATGCTGGGCAGGATTTTCTGTCCTCAGTTCCCTCAGGGATCTTCCAGCTCATGGACCTGGGAAGGGCTTTTTCTGCCAGGACACTTCTTCTGCCACTTTTGGGGCTCAGCACCTTTTTTTTTTTTTTTTTTAAATTTTAGTTCAGTATTCTTGCATACAAAACTTACATTATTTATACAGTTTCAGCCAGAGAACAGTGTCTCCAATGCTGTATTTTTACCTGGTATCTGGGTCTCTTTGTGCTTTTAACCCTGACCTTGAAGGTCAGAGGGAAGTAGGAGTTTGGGGTGCTCCAGGTTTTGGGGTAGGTCCAGGTCACCGTTCCSGTGGTGGCCTCGTACTGGCACTGGGGAGGGTCAGGTTTTACTGCAAGAGAAAACACAGAGGGGATGAATCCAAACTGACAGAATCAGAWATTGGAGTGTTACTGGGAGGGTTTGTGGGAATGAGATCTGAGAACCTCCAGGCTCAGAGAGGAGCAGCCAGGATGGGTAAGAACTGTCTTGGGTGTTTTTATGGACAATAAGCACATTCCTAGAATCAGTCTGGGTAAGATCCTTCTCTTTTTTTGGCCTGGATGGTTGCAGAGGGCTCTGCTGGAATATCTTCAGCCCCTGCTAACACTGATGATTGAAGAGCTCTGTTTCTTTAGGATGCTGCCCCATTTTCCTGTGTCCTGGGCCCCAGCTCAGACTCCTCTTGAGTCTGTCCCTTGCTCTGGGTGCCCATCTGGGAATGGATCAGGAGGGGAACATCCACAGCCTGAACCAGTTCCCAGAGCCTGCTGGGTCACTGGTGATGCTCTGGCCTCTCCCTGTGAGCCCTCCCAGGCCATGTCCATCCTCTGGGGCCGTTCAGGGAGCTGGGAGTGGCAGAGTGCTGGAATTCACAAAGCAGGAAGGTTCTTCTGCCTCCCTTCCTCATCCTCCCCCAGCCTGGCATGTCCTGTGTCTGTCCTGGGACTGGGTGGGCATTTGGAGCAGGGCAGGGGTTCCCAGGGCTGGGCTGGAGCCTGAACTGTGCTGGTAGCCCCAAATGCAGCCCCCAAATGCAGCCCAGAGCTGTCCCCTGTCCTGCTCACTCCCCAATGTACCCGACCTGTCCCAGAGTTGTCCCAGAGCTGTCCCAGAGCTGTCCCTGTCCCGCACACTCCCCAATGTCTCAGATCTCTCCCTGTCCTGCACACTCTTTGATGTCCCAGAGCTGTCCCCGAGCTGTCCCCATCCCACACACTCACCGATGTCCCCAAGCTGTCCCCATCCCGCACACTCCCGATGTCCCTGAGCTGTCCCATCCCGCACACTCCCCAATGTCCCCGAGCTGTCCCCATCCCGCACACTCACCGATGTCCCCAAGCTGTCCCCATCCCGCACACTCCCGATGTCCCTGAGCTGTCCCATCCCGCACACTCCCGATGTCCCCGAGCTGTCCCCATCCCGCACACTCACCGATGTCCCTGATGAAGAAGCTGGCGCTGTAGTTCTCGTACTCCACCTCATCGATCACCTCCAGCACCATGTCCAGGGGCTGCTGCTCCTCAGCGAAGGCACAGAAGCTCTGCTGGTGGCACTGGGCCGTGTAGGTGGTCAGG